GATTTACCCCCCTAGATGGGGATATAGGCCGTTCCCTTCGGGTTTCGAGGGGTGTATCCCCAATTGGGGTGGTAATTTGGCGGGGGTCTCGAAGGGGATGAGGATGGGGATGGGGGTCGGTTAAACGATACTGAGTCCAGACTCGAAGAAGTCGGATCTGCGATCGGCGGAAATCGGCAGCCAAGTCTGGAGGAGTCGAATCTGCGGGAATCGGCAGGGCGATAAGGCATCCGGAGAGATACCGACACCCAAAGCGAACTCTCCCAGGTCGACCCGAATCGAATCGGAACCGATCGAAATCGGATCGAATCGGGTTGGAGAAGTGGAAACGAAGCCCTGACTGGCACCTCTCCGATTGGAAGCGGCCGGGGGGTCTGAACTGGTTGGGACCCCAGAAAAGCGGCCAGAAGGGGGATGAAGGGAGGCCTGGAAATGGGCACCAACACCAAGACAGAGGGCTGCCTCCACAGGGGGGAGGTGATCCTAGATTTTGGTGTTGGTGGTAATGTTTCGGCCACCTTGGAAGCCAGAACATTACCACCACCACCACCACCAGGACCGGGATCTTCTTCCCTCGGTGGAGGAACACCGCTGATCTTGGTGTTGGTGTCAACCTCTAGGCCTGCGAGATGAAGCCCAATCCTTTGAGGACATGTCCCCAGACCCCTCCCAGGGTCGACCTGGCGCAGTGCTCCACCCCGGGTCCGCCCTCGACGGCCCCGAGGCCCGAGGACTGCCCCCGGGAGGCCGACACACGCACCACACCTTCCCTGGCGGCGCGCAGAGGGGGGGGGTCGGGGGAGGGGAAGGCCTCCTCGAAGGGGGCCGCTTCCTGAAGGCGCCGGCCCTGCATCTGCAGACAAGGCCCGCGCCTTCTGCAGACAAGGCCCGCACCCACAGCCTCGAGCCTCCCACCCCTGAGGGGGCCCTGGGACACACAAGTGAATCCAAACAGAGAAAAGGATTCCCCATACTTTCCCATACTTTCTGCGTTTTTGTCTTCCCCCCACTTCCCATAGTTTCCCATATTTTCTGGGGAATCGACGATGCTGATGCTGATGCTGATGATGATGAGGAGGAGGAGGAGGAAGCGGAGGAGGAGGAGGAGTGCGAAGGAGGAGGAGGAAGCGGAGGAGGAGGAGAGAGAGAGGAGGAGGAGGAGGAAGAGGAGGAGGAGGAGGAGGAGGTGGAGAGGGCGGAGGAGGAGAGGGAGGAGTAGGAGTAGGAGTAGGAGTCTGTGTGCTCCTTTCCCTCCCGAACCCCATCCTGCTGGCCCAGGCCAGGTGCTGGGCCACCTCAGGCCCCCAGGCGGCGCCAACTCTCCGAGACAGTGGAAGCTAGCCTCAAGTCGGGCGTGTCCCCCATACAGGGGGATTTGCAACGAAAAATAATATATATATATATATATATATATATATATATATATTAAACTAAAAAATAAAAATAAAAAAGTCAAAAAAACGTTGTTTTAATAATGATCAGAATAATAATAAACAAAAAAAAGTCCCCAGACTATTTGTTTACTATGTTTGAATTACCCCCCTGTAGAGGGACAGGCCCGACTTGAGGCTAGCCCACAAGAAACGTTCCACAAGAGATCCAACCCCGAGACCCCAGGACGTCCATGGATTCTTTGGCGTGGGAGCGCTACGCTTGCCGAGGCAAAGCCATCGAAGCCCAAGAAGCCCAGGGCACCCTAGAGGCAAGCAGGGTATCTCTTGGCATGGGCCCCCTCTGTAATTTTATGTCGGGCGTGTCCCCTACAGGGGGATTTTCGACGAAAAATAAAAAATACCCCACAAATACCCCAAGAAGGTCAAAAAATAATCAAAACATAGTCACAAGACCATTTTTGGACTATCTTTTTACTATTTCTTTGGTATTTATTATTTCTCGTCGAAAATCCCCCTGTAGGGGGACGGGCCCGACTCAACTGTAATTCTGGGGAGGCCTGTAACTCCAGTATTACTATCAAAACACTTGGAGCAACCGACGCCGCATAAAATCAGGAGAAACAACAAAAACATGTTGTGAGTTTTCAAGCTGATTTGTAAGAGCTGTCTCCTCGTAATATGAGTATTGATTTGCCTGTTAAGACGCTCGCCGAGGCGCCGCGCCTGCGAGGGCACCCTCGCGCTCGAGCGCGCCGCGCCTCCCCGGCGCCGCGCCGCGGCGGGGCCCGTCGCTGGGCGCGGGCCGCGCGCGCGGACGCATCGCGCGGACGCAGCCAGCCTCGAGATCGCGCGGCTGCGTCTGCAGAGATCGCCTCGAGACAGCCTCGAGATCGCCTCCGGGATGGCCTCGAGAGAGCCTCGAGATAGCCTCGAGATAGCCTCGAGATCGCGCGGCTGCGTTTGCAGAGGCCTCCGGGATGTTGGAGGCCTGGAAATGAGCTCCAACACCCACACAGGGGGTTTTTCCTTCACAGGGGGAAGATGATCCTAGATTTCGGTGCTGGTGGTAATGTTTCGGCCACCTTGGAGGCCAGAGTATTACCACCATCACCGAGATCGGGATCGTCTTCCCTCGGTGGAGGAACACCGCCGATCTTAGTGTTGGTGTCAACCTCTAGGCCTGCGAGGTTG